AGATCCAGAATTGCAAGCACATAAACAGCGGGATGACCACAGGGTTTTACGAGCGCTGTGACAGCATGTGGTTTCATGATTTACCACTGCACTGACTTTCAAGGCGGTGGCTGGGTTTGTCAAGCACCCGAATATTAAATTCATAAAGTCAGCAATAGTAAGGAAAAAGAAAGAACAGTGCAGTGGGGAAAATTTGCAAACTGCCTGGTGGAAGTCGCAGCAAAACGAAATAGAGTAGTTTCCCTCCTCTCAAATTGGCTTTAAGGCAACGATATTGAAAACTCAGCTCCCCGAGAATGTATGCCTGCGTGCGCTTTCAATTTTTGAACTGGACAGTGCATTGTATGACGGAACTGAACCATTGCAGACTAGTATACTCTGTTGAGTCCACTGGGCAACTCAATATGAGAATCCAGAAAGACTGATAAAATCATGATGATTTAATATTTCGTTCTTTATTCGGAACATCTTCGGGAACATCTTGAGATGGCTTTCATTAGTCTTTTGTTTTTCATTCTGTTGAGATATCTGGATATTATCAGTTGATCACCTACTGGTTTCCACTGGGCACGTACTAGGCTAATTATATACTTGTCCATGTACTGTACAACTGTACAATCACAGTAAAAATTGTCCTGAAGACAGTGCTGAAATAATGAAGTCAATGTGAACTGCTTTACCAAAATGTCCCCAGTGTTTTTCATGTGTATGAGCTGATTTTTGTGAGGGTTCTATGGTCCTGTCTTGTCCCGGCCTGTCCATCGTATTCCTGTATTTTAATGGGGCTGGATCCGCCCGTCGACAATACCCACTTGGCTGTTTCCTTCACAGAGAATGGACCTATGTACGTACTGATCTCTGTGATGACGTTTACACTCTGTTTACGTGTACATGTGTGCTTTCCTATGGTGCTCAGTGGACTGTGCCCCCAACGTCCCCCGCGTGGAGGGAAAAGTGGGATGCGAGAACTTAAGGGAAAAGGGGTGCAGGAGCGAATTTGCGTGTGGGGAGTATTCAGTATTGTCCAGTCAAAAGCGGGGTCCAATAACGAAAAAGAGGGGTGCAAAAAGGGAAAAGGGGGTGCAGGAACGAATTTGCAGTGTGTGGGAGTATTCAGTTTTGTGGAGTCAAAAGAGCGTATGAGAACGGAAAAGAGGGGTGCGGGCGCGAATTTGCAGGGTGTTGAGCCTTCAGTTTTGTCGAGTCAATAGAGGGGTGCGAAGACAGGAAAAGTGGGGTGCGAGAAGGGAAATGTGGGGTACAGCAGCGAATTTCCAGTCTGCAGAGTATTTAGTTTTGTCAAGTCCAAAGCGGGGTGCGAAAACGGAAAAGAGGGGTGCGAGAAATAAAAGTGGGGTGCCAGAAGGGAAAAGAGGGGTGAGAGAAGGGAAAAGTGGGGTGCAAGAACGAAAAAGTGGGGTGCGAGAAGGGAAATGTGGGGTACAGCAGCGAATTTCCAGTCTGCAGAGTATTCAGTTTTGTCAAGTCCAAAGCAGGGTACGAGAACGGAAAAGAGGGGTGCGAGAAGGGAAAAGTGGGGTGCGAGAAGGTAAATGAGGGGTACAGGAACGAATTTCCATGGTGCAGATTATTCAGTTTTGTCGAGTCAAAAGAGGGGTGCGAGAAAGGAAAAGTGGGGTGCGAGAANTTGATGCAAAAACAGAGTCCAAGCATGAACCCATAAGAGTCTTGAGAAAAATAGCAGACCAGGTTTCACGGGTTAGTATCTAGTCACTTCCGAGATCCATGGGGTTAAATGGCTGAGACATCCTACGAAGTGAAAAGATGGGAGAGTTGTAAGATTTGGCAGTTAAAGTTTGAGCAGAGTGCAATAACTTAGAGCTGTGTGTGGTTACTTTTGAATAAAGGTGTACATGTACATGTACATGAAGAATGTTGACCTTTTCCCACAGTGCAATGTGAACTTCCATTGATGAGCCCTCTGACAACAGTTTAGAGGTATTGCAAATCTTACCTACAGATACAATGTACATAATGGCACATTTAGTTTGCAAGACTTTCTTTTGGAGGTAAACTTTAATATACATTTGTTTTTTGGGGGGCAACATTAAAAAAATGTTTACACCTGCCAAACATGTAAATTCAGACTCCGTGTTGCATGACCCTGTTCACATAAGCTTATTCCAAGACAACTTATCACACTACATGTATTTTCATATCATAATTCCATACTTTAGTTCCACACATACAGGTATCTGAAAAGTAGTTACAACAATGTTTTGCTTTCCTAACATTGTATCCATCTAAAATAAAAACACAACTCTATGTACATACATGTATAGTTACCTTGTGCATACATTTTTACTATGTACGCAAATTATCCAAACAACTTTGATACTACAATTATTGGCACATGTACCGCTGCAATACATGGAAAAGACCAAACTAATGTAACAAAGTCAGCCAATTCAAATGAAGGCAAATACAAATGGACGGTTAAGTACTGGTTCTCATGAGGAATATATGCTTTTATGTATAAGTACCGGTGCTACAGAAATAAAAACTTTTAAAACAAACAAGCAAAACTGCAACACGTGACTCAAAACAACACCACAAATGCAGTGATGAATAGAAAATAATTGCAGTTAAACTCACCAAATTCAGCAGTAGCCTATACACCCAAACCATCAAAAGGCAAAGGCCAGTTATACACACTTTAATCAACCAGTGCTATGATGGCACACATGCTCCCTCTAGTGTTAGCAGTATGTTCCTATTTCTGCAGTATGGGCGAGTTAGCATCAATGATTGTTATAGCTTTGACATATTGCCACACTGACACAGATACATGTACTTGTAACATTACATCTCCACGCTGCCGCAGCATACCAGCATTGACAGCCCTAGCCTCCAAATATCTACGCACTGCTGGAGTGCTTTATGCATGCATCGCACAGATGATGACTTGATGGTAGTTGAACAACTGACCACGGCCCTTATTAAAACACACCAAATGACATCACCGACGTCATCCACTGAACTACTAATATTATTTTCGTTGCTGGTCCAAATTGCATCAGCACTAACACCTGCTATAATTTTTTAAGCTGATTACTGTGGGGGAGGGGCAGGGGTCAACATCAGGGTGTTGTCATCAATTGCTGGTACCCCGGCAAGATTTGTCATGTCCGCTTGACTTCACAGCATCCTGAATACGCATCAGGATTGTTGTGGGATTCAAACAAGAGACAGAATATGAGTACAACTGTTTGAAGGTCTTGTATATACACAATGTTTATACATGTACATCAACTGAGCATTATTTACATTTGCCTGTAAATGCTCATA